CTCTAGTTACGCCTCAGTCAGTATAAATACCTAAAGAACTTCTTCGGGTGCCTTTAACTGTGAGATCGAACCTGCACCTTCATGGTAAAAATCCGTTATTATCGATACAGACATATCTTTAAATTATTTGAATATAATATATATAAATGCTTATTTACTACATGTTAAGTTTCTATTAATTTGCGAGGCAAAGTGTATAACTTACATTTTTTTGTTGTTATCTTTTACACTTTCTGCAGATTCCTTTACTGATTCATCTATTTCCTAATTATATAAACAGATCAATATGTATTTATATACGACATTCTACAGATAATTATAATATCCTCATGCAGGCCTCTGAAAGTTTCTAGACTATAGTAGTTCTCTTATTGTTTTATGCCATTTCAGGGTTTTTTTCGGGCTCTTTTTAAGGGCCGGGTTTTTTCAGGGACTTTTTTAGTTACATTATACATTTTATAATTTATATATGGAGAGCATTCAACTTTACGTATTTTTCGGAGAAAATTTAATACTTTGTCATTTTATTTCAGGCTTGGAATCAGACTTGATATATTCAAGACTCGACGACTACCTTGACACTTTCGGATAATATACATGCACTTTCATAATTATATATCTAGCTCAGTGACGATATTTCAACGCAATGACAAACGAATATTTAACCTGACATATAAAGCATGGAAACGGTCTCACGTAAGCAATAATACGTGTTTGAAGCTTAAACGTCAAAATTCTAATGCGGCAGATGCAATGCAAACGAACTTAATTAATGAGTTTAGGTAGTCAGCGCGTGAAGTTAAGCCCAATAATTAACGAATCTAATTCATACCTGCAAAGTAGTAATTACTTTGTTTGAATCTTCCGTATTAATTGATTCCAATTCGCTGGTCTCTTCTGTGCTATCATCCAATTCCTTATTTAAAAAAAAGGCGAATAAATGTCGCTATTCATATATATTGTAAGTGACTTTTTGTGACTTAATAATTAACTATATCGAACACCACGGAAAAACGTCTGCGTATACGTCAACATGAACGTTGTGTCAAGTGTCCCGAATGTTGTCCAAAACTCAAAATGGAAGCGACTTAGATTATTTCGCTATTTCTATGAAAATGCAAGCGTGACACTGCTAAAACTATAGAAGTAATTATAGTCCACATGTGCAAGAAGTAGTATTATGCAAGGAAATAAACCAAATGTAACTGTCAATAAATTTATTCCGTTTATGTTCTTGTACAATACCATTTCTTGAACCTTCTGGCTGTGCTTAAAGTTCCTAGTTTTTAGAATGATATGTTTATTTTTATGCTCGAAATCTGGCTGCAAAGACGCACAATGAAGTCACTCCTTTTTACCACCATTTTGAGCCTTTGAAAACGTTCGGAACAGCTTTTCATCAACACCGCGGAAAAACGTCTGCGCATGCACCAAATTATGAAAATATGGCGGGGAATTTGAATATCAATTTCTAAAACAAAAACATGCTTATTAATTGGTCAAAATTAGTAAAACAAACGAGAAAATATAGCAAATGGGTAGACTAGACATTAATTGAAAGCGTCCTGGCATTTAAAGTATGGAATGAAATATAATTCATGTAAAAAATTGTTGATTTTAACGGACATGACTTCGAAAATTTTTGCAAAATTATTCAAAACAAAAATTCAAACTCAAAAGTTAAGAAAACTCTCGAAAAGTTAAGCTTCTTAACCCACTCAAATTGTAGAATAAATCCTAAAGTTTAATTATTGTGAACACGAAAATTTTTTATATTTGGTGACACAGTTTTTTTTAAAGAAATGTATCTCAAACGAAAATTCGGAAATTGTCGTTGCTTAGTTGATAAACAAAATGTTTCAGACGATAAATTTGTTAACAATCACCTTTAGTTCATGTTCTTGTACAATACAATTTTTTGAACCTTCTGGCTGTATTTATTCCTAGTTTTTAGAATGACATGTTTATTTTTGCACTCGAAATCTGGCTGTAAAGACGCACAATGAGGTCACTCCTTTTTACCGCCATTTTGAGCCTTCGGAAACGTTCGGAACAGCTTTTCATCAGGTTCGCAATACTATTACAGGTAAGGTTGACGCATGCGCAGACGTTTTTCCGCGGTGTTCTTTTCATCAAGTTCGCAATACTATTTCAGGTAAGGTTGACGCATGCGCACACATTTTTCCGCGGTGTTGGGGAAGACAAGATTAAGGCGTCTGCAATCATACAGGGGAATATTACAACTTTGACCGAACGTGTGCAAACTGATTCATTAACTGTTCATGCAATATATATCGAAAGCTCTCGACCAATGACAAAACCTTAAACATTGTTAGTTTTGTATAAAACTTTCGTTCATATATATATATTTATACCTTCCTTTTCCAATAAAACCCGAACGTGCGACGTTTATGGTTGATCTCATCGTCGCTGTTTACTATAGATTTTCCGTCCACGACTGCTATGTCGTAAGAACTTAGTACGTCTTCCAAACCTGCCCTTTCATCGAAGAAGACTGCGACAAACGCTTGCTTTAGATCTTGCAGAGTCATTGTGTTGTTAACGACAACCTAATAGTTAAAAAAAAACCTTCCGTTATAATCTTCCGTTTCCATGGCATTTATACTTTTTGCATTTAAACTCTTCAGGATTCTAAGCGTTTTTACCATCCACGTTATTCATAGTTATATACCCATATGTGGCTACAACTTTTTATTTTTGACTATGTACTATTTAAAAAACGAGCAGGAGTGTTTTATAAAGTTTCAAACCTAATAAAACACGACCCGCGAGTTTTCTGAAATGGCTTCAAAAACGTATGCATAATAAGTCAAATCTTTATACAAAAATCTTTATATAAAAACCTTCATACCACTGGTCTTTTGTTAAAGTGTTCTTTAAGCTGGTATAAAGACGCATGCACGTGACTAGTTTCTTACTGAAGATTAGATTTAATAAATATAAAACATTTTCCGTGTTGATATACTGTTATATAAACACGAGTGGAATTGGGAATACGAGAAATTGTGTGGAAACACGACGCCCGAAGGGCGGAGTGTTTTCACACAATTTCGAGTTTTCCCAACTTCCACGAGTGTTGATATAACTATATATCAATACGGAAAAAAAGTTTCATATTTGTTTTATAATATATGTAGCAATGTCAAAAGCCCAAAGAATAAGAAAAATTTCCGTGTTTAGAAGCGGCGGAAAATTTTCCGTGTTGACATGGAGTTATATCAACAAGGCTCTTAGCCAATCAGCGTTCAGAATTTACAAATGCTATTTTATAAAATTGCTTCATGAATTATTAATGAGTTTTTGAAGGCTAAATAATGGCTTCCTATTGAATGCTAGTAACGCCGGCACGATTATTTGCATATACCTTCTTATATTCACCGACCGCTGTGTACGTTATCCTTCCGGTGGTTTTGAATTTTCGTTTCTCCATTCGAATAACGTCTAAAACTTTGCGTTTTTTGCGTCCCTAGCAAAAAGAAAATTTCTAAAATTATTTAATTCAAGCTTGAAATTTACGCTATTTGAGCAATAGAGAGTTTACGATCTACGACGCGGCCGGCTCAACGACGCGCTTTCAAAACAAAGAAATTTGGTGTTTCCACAAAAAAATAGTGTTATATGATTTACCATAATGCAAACCTACAAAGAACTTACAAAAAAGTTGTCATTCAAGACGAAAACTATCAATAATTCGTGGTCCCATGAATATTGTCAACCGCGTTGTCATTCTCAACACAACGTTAAACAAGCATTTATACAGATTTAGAACAGAAGACGCGAGCTCAAAGACGACGTGAAAATGACGTGTACACCTCGCGTTCACTTCTGGGTTTTTAATCTGGGACGGCTAGTCGGCTAAGGCTTGTTTGTCTTTTTCGAAGCAAATTTTTGTTTCCTTGTTTCTTGCTCATTCCTGTATTGTTTTCAATCAGTTGTCAAGATATGTGCAAGAAAAGGATTTATAATACTGCCAAGCGTTTCCTGATGAATTAGTACGGATATTCAATAAGTATCAGTTTTTTAGAAAAAGACGTATATTTCGGTATTTTGAAAAGTGAACTTTGTTGCATCATTTGGAATAAATATAATAACTGCAGGTATTGTTTACGAGCTAAATGCTTTAGTCCGCGCGTCCGCGTGTCCGTGATCGTTGTGGGTCGTTGTGGGTCGTTGTGGGGTCGTTGTGGGTCGTTGTGGGGTTGTAGTGGGTCGTTGTGGGGTCGTTGTGGGTCGCTGTGGGTCGTTGTGGCTCGTTCCATGTTTTAGTAACCACGGAAATTTAGACCGCTTCGTTGAGCCGGCCGCGTCGCAGATCGTATATAAACTCCCTTCTATAACAGTGTAGAAGACGAAGTGAACAAATATTTTTCGCCAGCCTTTAAATTGGAAGGTCCACAAAACATACTGTTTCACTCCTGCGGCCCTGCTTATATTAATAGAGGCGAGACAAAATGTCAAGTTTTCAAATCCGCGGGTTGAGTTACTCTACATGTATGATATAGGAATACGCACGCTGATTGCATGGTCAAAAATTTATCGTTATCTTCCGACTGAAAAAAAATCGCTCAGGTGAGAGATTTTAAAATCGTTATCGTTATCGTCAAACGATAATTTTATCATTTTTTGTTGTTGTGTAGACTTGTATACTAACACTTTTTTTTGTCAATTATCGCGTGTTTCCAATGTGGTAAGACGTTTTTGAGATTCTGCTAAAATTTATGTACATATAATTTCAGTATGTTATATGCGTATATATAGTCATATATATGATCGCATTTAATTATTTTTTAATACGTAACGAATTTTCACGTAAAACATCCCCCGCTTCATTGGGTAGCCTCGCAGTAGCTCGGAAGAGTGATTTTCATTAGCTCGATTTAACAATTGCTTTTGTGTTTATAACGATAAATTGCTTCGTTCTTTAGAAAACCCCAATCCAATTGAAGACGATCTTCCCAGGCTCTGCGAGGCTCCCCGCTTTATTCAAACCCCCTTCCTGAATGCAGTAACATTTACATTTTAAAGTACACCCATGCAAAGAAACCAATGAATATAATTATAATTTATAAGGATCATACAAAGACGATGTAAACAATTTATTGTCTTACGCCCGCCTGTTTGTCGCACGTTCTTCTTTTCTCGGCCACATCCCTCTTTACTTCACTCCATCCATAACCTATATCGTGAAAAATACAGTACAAATATACTTTCTGTCAAGTAAGCTTTAATATTTTTTTAAAATTTACGATAGGATATAAGTATAATGACTTAATAACCACTATACGCTTTTATTTCGAGACAGTTCTGTTTAAGAATGTTTATTTTGCCAAATACTGATGTCTCACCATCCGGTTCCATGCATGAATTATAATTTGTTCGTTGTTAATTAAGCTATGGCAGTCTAAATATTTTGCATGCAAATGAACAAAAAATAACACTGTGTCATTAGTTTATCAGTTTATATATTATACGATATATTACTATATAGATGTCCGCCGCCAATATGCGTACCAGCAACACGAACGTCGACATTTTGACTGGCACTGTTTTCCAATTCCTTCAATCGATGTTGCTCTTTGCCGTGACCACATCGGAAACATTCCGTTATTTCAGAGACCATGACGTATCCATCGCATTGACAACCTCCAACACTACATTTTGGCAGTAATTCCTAAGTATAAAAGGAAATCGTCATGGACTCATATATTTACAACAAGTGTAGACCGGTGTTCGTCCAGAGGGATCATAGGTATTAATCAGTGTCTTCACATATGATCAGTCTCCGGTAATTGGGTGCGTTTTGTATGTTCACTAAGGCAGTTTTAGCATGTATTTCTAGTTGCTGTCGAGCGTCAGAGAGGCAACACATTACTCTTGACGTGCAATGATTTATCCACAGTCCAATCAACTCAGTTATTCGCGCGAGCTATGTTTAGTTGAGATCTCGATCTTATGTCTGCTTGTAAATATGTTTGTCATAGTTAAGCTACGTAATCAAATCAATGGTTTATAGTTTGCGTTAAAAATTTTAATTTGCAAACGTAATAAATAACAATAAATTGTACGGCGAAATAAGAGGCAGCACTTTCCTTGCGACAGTAATTCCTAGTATTGAATTTAGTCATTACTCATAATTGGACAAGGAACTGGTCCCCAATCGCTGCTAATCTTCTTCTTCTTGTTGTTAGAGGGTGACGCTCTTTGAAAAAACCCTAAGGCTCCGTCGTTACTTGATCGATCGGAATGAAACTTGACATAATTATTCTAAGCAATATTCCGCATCAATAGGCAATTCCCATTATAGCTAAGCATCATGGGAAATGTGGTAGATCGGAAGAGCACGCGAAATGGCCGCCGCGAAGCGAGCATTTTCCATGCGAGAGAAATTGCTTTATTAAAGTACATTTTTTCCAGAGTATTATAGTTTAAATAGAAGTAGTGTGTTTGTATTACATTGAAGTGTATTGTGGA